TCACCGCTCAGTGTGGGCGGGGCCTGATCCGCAGCCCGCAGCCACACACGCACACTTGTGGGTTCTTGCCGAGTTGAAAATGACTAATGCTTGCCAAATTTGGGGAAGAGGAGGAGTTTAGAAAAGCAAATGTCCTGTAGCAGCTGCACACCCATATACCCTGCAGGCCTGGTCTGTTTTCAGCAGCTGGAATCGCTGAGATGGAAGACTAACAATTCCAAGCCGGGCCATAGGCTGTTCCGCCCCACCCTGACTCCCACAAGCACACACACTCTTTTTACTTTTCCAACTCTCTACCTAGGAAGGCAACTTCTTCTTTTTCTATTATAAACCTTTGTAGTTTAGTACTTCAAAATATTTTTTCCCACTGTCATTTACCCCAAGCTCCAAATACTAGGAATTTCATCTTGGGGCAAGCCAGGCTGCCCTTACCAAACTAGCGCAGGAGCTGAAGTTTGCTGCATTCAAATTCTCTGTGTAGGCCAACTACACTCCCCGCCCACTCCTTCCTCCTTTCTCCTTTTCCACCACTTCCACCTAAGTCTTCTGCCTTCTCCTGGTTGAAACTGGCTTTTAGAACTTATAATGATTGACAGTAATATGATGTGTCACCTCCTCCTTTGTGTTTTAACTAAAGCAAGGCTTTGTGATAAAAAGTTCACATAGTACTTAATTACATATTGCCTTTTACTATCTCTTCTGTTTGTTGTCATGTGTATGCAACTTTTCATTGAAGTTACTTTTTATACACAAACGGATTTGTTTATAAGCATTTTGAGGCTAGAAACCAGTCACTTTGACAAAGATTTGCTATCAATTATGTATTAGTACTTAACAGTTAATGCACAGAACAAGGTGATAAGCACCTGCTTTCACCAAGCTTACGGTGTGGTCAAGGAAGAAAAACAGACAAAAACAAATAAATCATATCCATATTAAAAGGTGGTTTGCAGAGATTTAAAATATTATAATATGTTAGAGAATAACTGACTAGATGACTAACCAAAAGAAGGCAGTTATTCCAGGAGCTGAAAGAGGACACATTCCCAGCTCCTACAACTCTCCACAGACATTAACTGAGCACATTCAAGAAGCAGAAAGACAATCATGTGGCTGGAGCTGAGTGGGTAAGATGAAGAGAGGTAGGCAGAGGCCACATTAGGTGATGCTTTGTAAACTGTGATAAAGATTTCAGATACTTTATATTAGATGTGATAAGTACCCATTAGATGATTTTAACCCACAGGGTGGGATAGGGGATAAAGTAATAAGATCTATGTTTTTCAAAGATTATTCGTGTTGATATGATACAATGGACTTGGAGGAACAAGAATGAAAGGAGGGAGACCAGTTAGGAGACTATATCATCCTACAGCAGCTTAACGGAGAAAAATGAATGGGTAAGAGCTTCAATAAATACAGATGGACCCTGTTTTGCAATATCTGCCACTTGGAGACGGAAATTCTAATACCATCCTCTGGACCCACCACTTCTTAATTGATGGGTTGGGGAAGGTATTGATGGGGCTATGCTAGGCTGGAAGGCAGATATGAGCAGAGCAAGGACAATGGGCCAAGTACAAAAGGTCACTGTGGTGGAAAGCCCTGGGTGCCTAGCAAAGGACAACTGTAAGATGGGATCTCATCCCCAGTGTGACCTTTCTTCCCTAGAGATAGCATCTAGGCCTCAGTTGTATTTCAGCTTTAGGCCCAGAGAAGCAGCAAAACCAGATAAATGGTGAGATTCCAGGGCTGACCTCAGGACCAGCTGCATTGAATAACGACTGTCTATCTGCCTGCGACATATCCTCATGATGAAGTATTTTAAACTCACATTTATTGGCTTTCTTTTCCCCTAGCTTCTTGACTCTTTGCTCATCTCTGGGACTCCACAAACTGATCTCAGAAACCATCTTGTTTTAGGCCCAAAATAAAGCAGAATACCTTAAAATTTGTTCTTCCTCCAATTCCCAGGCCCTAGTCAAGTCCTCCCACTCAGTTCCTCTTTCCTGACTACAAAGCCAGTAGAGATGGTTGATATACTAAAGTTTGTCACCATTCTTTGGTTGGTTTGGGTGATAAGTTGAGCCCAGTTCTGGAACTCTTTTCATTGTATTCATTGGCACATAGAAGAGTCTCAGCAAAGCAGGGAAGTGGCCTCTCCTAGCACAGACCAATAATTAATCGATAATTATCAGAATCACTTTCACCTAATAAAAATCGGTGGAAAATGCATTAGTTACTGGGCAAACAACTGTCCTGATCTGTTCCAGATGAGGGGTGTCCAGGGACAGGGGACTCCCAGTGCTAAGACTGGGGCAGTCCCTGGGATAGTCCTTGGTGAAGGAGGCTGTTGGTCTCTGAATTCCCAAACAATGAGGGCAGACGGGATCTCACCAAGCCACGAAGAAGGAGCAGTAACAATAGCAACACCTTCTCTTCTCCTCTACCAGGTGAGAGGACTGGGGCACTGTGACAGCTAGACACTAGCCAGGTTAAGGAAGTCTGTTTAACTTTCAGTTTTAAATCAAGAATGGGACAGGAAATGCAGATTTTTAAGCAGAGAGATAGAAAATGAAAGAGGATATTAGAGAGGGAAAGCAGAGAGGAAGAGAGAGACGAGGGGCTAGACTGAATTATTTAGATAAAGAAATCTAAAATATTTTTATCAAATTATCTAGATTTCTGCTGAAGTATTTTGCTTCACAATCCATACAAGACCCTACTCTTTGAAAATTATTCTTGGTATCAAACCAAACTTCAAATTCAATGTTAGAATTTATCACCTCATTATAAAAAAATATGCTATGGAATACGAAACCCTTTTTTAAAAATATATTTTATTGATTTTTTACAGAGAGGAAGGGAGAGGGATAGTTAGAAATATCGATGAGAGAGAGAAACATCAATCAGCTGCCTCCTGCACATCCCCTACTGGGGATGTGCCCGCAACCAAGGTACATGACCTTGACCAGAATCGAACTTGGGACCTTTCAGTCCGCAGGCCGACACTCTATCCACAGAGCCAAACTGGTTATGGCACGAAACCCTTTTAAACCCAGTTGTACAGACTTAGAGTAGCTTGAGGTGGACACCCGAAGACTAAAAATGTTCACTAGGCCCTCTGCCACCTGCAGAGCTCCCATGGACTTCTTGTTCAATTTTGCTTAATTATTTCTTTACTAACTTTTATTTAACAAATATTTGATACCTACTATGTACCTGGCAATGTTCTAAGCACATATTATATACCCACTCCTTTCAGGCATTCACCGCTCCAACACCCTATCATTAATTTATTTCTATGCCTCCCACCCAGACAAATAATAAACAGCAGGGGCAAATAAGCAACAATAATACCCATAGGAAAATAAAATAAATGTATCCTTTCTGAGTAAAAAAAAAATCATGTGATCTATATTATTTACAAGTAGATACCTTTGCGTTACATCGCAGCAACAAACACGACTCTCCTGGAAGGGAAGAACCACACTGTAAGTGAGTCATAGTCCCATCACATGCAGAGCGATTCATTACACAGCTCCAGTGATTCAGAGGCAGAAAATAAATCCTCAGGACCCATAGGTGACAAAGCTTATTTAAACTTTTATCAGGTACAGTCATGAAAGAGCTAGACTTCCCCAATGTCTGAACTAGTTCCTGAAAGGGAACAAAGTGATTCCACCTCAACATTAATATCTCCGTGTATGACAACAGAGGATGTCAACCAATGACAGAATGATTACCAACATCTGCGTTTGGGATTGAATGCGTTTTAAATCCAGTTTCCAGAAACAGACCCGCGCCTCAGAGCTTTGCATGCGGGAGGTGTATTGGAGCGTGCTCTCAGGAGCAAACACTATGAGAGTTGCAAAGGAGGCCTCGGCCAACTTCAGGGGTAGCTCCTGGAGTTGAAATGTCTTTCATAGGTATCCTGATTTCAGTGACGCAATGAGGCCAGGGTTTTGTGTCCCGTCCCAGACCATTCATTAAATGTGGCTGCCCCTGTAGAGGGAGCATAACCAGGGACAAGGCAGCTTCCTTTGGCTCAAGGCAATTTTAAGGAGGAACTCAACGGTGAGCTGTCAGCAGCCAAACTCCTGACTTTGGGGAAGGAGTGCCTCCATCTTGATGAAGGAATCCAGGTGATGCAACTATAGCATCTGGAACACCCACGAAAATCCAAGACATCTGGCAGCTTGTTTGATGAAAGTCACATCTCACGGGCACTGTCAGACCTTCACAAACCAGGTCAGGCTCAGAATGGCATTCTGGAAGGATAAAATCTATAACTGCACTATAACTGCATCCCTTCCTCTCATGCCCTCTATCATAGACCTGGTCCAGGTCAGTTCCTCAATTCTCCGCGGAATTAG